TTATGTATACGGAAAATCTGAAAGACTATGAAAGAAAGAGTAGCACCGAACTTATACAAAAAGATGCCCTTTTCTCTTGCCTGTCCTATTATCATGATATCATTAACCACTCTTATACAATCAATAACCTATATGTTTCATATTTAATAAAGTAGATCATGAGTTACATCTATTATAAAAACAAGAATGAACAAGACTTCAAGAATAGTGCAGCATCAGAAATAAAAGCAGTATTGTGTAGCTGTTAGAACAGCCTTCCCCTCCTGGTTTTAATCTCAACTCAGCCATGGAACACATTGGAAATGCACTGTGAGATGGGTTTGGCTGAAAGTCATTATATTTTAGCCTCGGCTAACTCACATGGTTATTGTGAAGATAACAGGAAAGAACATCTGTGCCAGCTTGAGCTTCTTGGAAAGGGAGGGATAGAAAGGTAATTATACAAAGAAATTAGAGCATGAATTCTGTAAGCCATGATAAGTGTTGATAAACAGTGCTTTTGCTGAAGTCAGTGTTTCCAGTCTCTTAATGGGGGATGACGATCATTAGGAAGATCACCCTCATATTTACAATATAAAAACACACATTCAATATTGAAGGACAAGTATTTCCGGATATGATTTCACAGCATATTCCAAAACCAAATATAAAACAGAACTGCAATTTAAACTGTTATCATGCTATTTTAGCTGAAACATGAAAACAGGCACTAAGGGGTAACTAGTGGTCATTTCCCCATTGATATCTGATGTGAATGATGGTTTGGCTTGTATTCTCAGTACATTTCAAAGAGTTAGTCAGTACTTCCTTTCTGATAACCCCGGATCAGAAATGGAAGCAAGAAAGGTCACTGTTGCTTGTTTTGCTTTTGCGTTCAATATAAGGAACTATAATAGATTTAATTATAACAGGCAAGCAGACGCTACTCTCCCTCAAGGCATTAGTTTTTCTAAGAGAGAAGGGTAGCAAGAATTAACTGGAGCAAACACAGCTCGAGATGAAGTTGTACTCATAGGAGGTTAAGAAATTGTATGCAATTTATGTCAAGATAAGTCTGCATCCATGTAACAGTTATTTGTTAGCTGTTATGAAAATGTATCCTGTATTTAAAAAAAAAAAGCAATATATAGTTACAACACAGAAGGATCCTTGACCAACACATTTATGGCCATGCTGCTGATAAATGGCAAAGCCCTGGGCTTTTTGTTGTAGCTAAAAAGTTGAGTCTCAGCCAAACCACTTATGACTGTACTCCTGGAGCCTTGCAACCAAGGCTTCCCTGCACCTGCATTATACATTCCTTTTCAAGAATCATGGAGCCACTGCTCAAAAATGCCTAAGAGCTGTGGTACAGGTGGTAGTGTCTCCAGAATTCTCCTGGTGGTGATAAAGGAGGTCATTCTGGATACTATGGGTGGCACTGGCACTATCAGCTTGAATAGCTATCTTGCGTCACTAGTGCTGGAACTACAGGCGCAATAACAGAACTGGAGTCTTGCTTATGAGACCATTTTTGGACAATTGCTGTCAGCACTAATTGCAGTTGAGAGGATTTCTTTCATTCTTTCATCAATGTTGGTTGTTAAGTCATAATTATATTTATTGTAGGCACCGAAAAGTCAGGTTTGGGACTTGGTTGGGACTTGAGGTTCTAGCAGAGACTAATTGGTGGGTTGCAGGCTTTAGGAAAGCAAAGGACTGGGGGGAAGGTTTCATTTCCCCCCATACTCTGTTTGCAATAAGCTGGGAAATGTTTTGTTTTATCAACTCACAGATAATTCAATAATCCTTATTCCAAGACACTTCAAGCACAAGTAGTAAAGTGACTTTAAGTTATTCCAGACATAAGAAATAAAGATTAGCTCAAAATGCTGTGGAACAGCTTTAACACAGATTATGACTAGAGTTTATGTGAAACATGCACTTTTATACACAGATCATATGTGGAACAGTAACTGATAGTTGCCTATTACTAGAAAGTACACGCAAATTGAGCAAGGATTAATAAAAACTACACTTTGGTGTGCATGCTAGCCCATTGTATTGCACTAGCATTAGCTTTCATACCAGAATTATCAAGTGACAGTTCTGTATGAACTCATGCCCGCTGCTGCCAAAATCAGAAAAGCAGCAAGTAAGCTTAATAGAAGCGAACATGACTATGAACCAAATGTTGCACTGCACCACATTTCAACAGTATACATACATGAATAGTCCCCTGGAATAAAAACATGCGCACACACTATCTAGAACTTAGTATAGCAAGCACTTCAAGATGTATGGGGCTGAGAACATTTGTTCTGCATTCATGCATCCTTACCATAGTTTAGGGATCAGGAATATGATAAGGCTACTGGGAAACATTGTGGTTACTGGGAAGCAGCAAGTGAACTGCTTGGCAAGAGTCAAAAAAACCCGCACTTATCTTGCCTAGATTCTCCGGTCCACTGTGAGCAGCCTCCCTCCAGGTGCCGAAGCAGCACTTTGGGACAGCCATCACTGGTTCAGTGTCTCGGGCTGAGAGCCCTTTGATGAATTGGCATCAGTGCAAAGTGATCAGTACATCACTGCTCAAGAGGCACATTGGTGGGTCTGTCAGTGCTTGGTTATACTTAAAAAAAATATATGTTTGTAGGTGACATTCCACCCACCCTTTGTAGCAAGACCCTCAGGATAATGAGGTCTGACCAAAGGCCCCATCTTTTCCCCCATTCCCAAGACTTCAAGTGTCTGAGAAGGTAAAAAAGTGCTTCTCTATTTTCGCTAACATTTGCTTTTGGCAGCTGTTAGAAGCAGGGTTTTTCTCCTGGAAAAAGGGGACTAGGCAGAGATGGGCAGTGTAGTTCCAACATGAAAGTACACAGATTTTATTTAAAAAAATATGCACATTTAAGTTGACTTTTTTAACAGTAGTCAACCAATGGAAAGCCCTCCAATGTGCTGCTTGGGCACTTTGGAAGGACTGTCACTTGTTATGATCTCTCAGAAAAAAGGGTAAAGGGGATAAACCCTACAATGAGTGGAAAATGGTTTGTGGCAAGGTGAAAGAATGTCTATTGGTCCTGCCACCCATAAGATGGAGAAGTGGGGAACAAGCAGTAGTGAACCTGAGCATTTGTCAGGTGCACCATGTGTTGTAGAGACAACAAGCAATGGTTTAATTCCAGGGTGAGTTAATGTGATGTCCAAAGTTGTCTGGAATAACTGGATAAAAGTGCATGGCATGAATAATATAAACAATCATTACAGTCAGAACTAAATGCAATTAAGTGCCAGAATAATAGTAAAGGGGTAGTTTTCCATAAAATTCTACAAATGTATCTCAGGACCTTAAAAGGAGTGCTTCTGTTCAGAGCTCTGGCTAGCTTTGAATAATGCAATTTAGTGCAGGGATGGAAGAAAAGGGGAAACCCCCCCCCCTTTCCTCCTGTTTTGATAAAATCAGGTAGCAGATGATTTTAAAGATATCTACAGAGGATTTTAGGTAGCCACTGTGAAGATAGCAGCACTGTGCTAAATAGAAAAATATCTGCTATAAAATAACTTCTATTTTTGTTCTATGATTTGAGGAAGCGGCAATAGAGGGACTCAGGCTGCTGAATTTTAGCATTTTATCTTTATATAGTGAGCCATAGTATCAGGAAACCAGGGATAAAAGAGCATTGAACACTCTAATGTGATATAATGCTGTCCAACGAACAGTGCAATAGATAAGAACAAGCCATGGGATAACAGGGGTTGCTCATCCCTGTTTGGACATTACAGAAACAATCCTTGGATGTGGCATCCAAGGTTTGTTAATGGAAAGATGCATGGGCATTCTGCGTGTTGTAGGTTAATTAACCCACAGTTTGCTGGTGGATACCACTGTTACATCTGCTCAGTGTCATGATAATCCTCATGATAAACCTTAGAAATTACACTGTTTACTAGTACAGTATCAGACTTTTTTATCCTTTTGTCTCCAGACTAATAAGAACAAATTGAATTTACATCCTATTAAATTCGATCGACTCAGAGGGCACTTTTCCAAATGTCCAACAGCAAGTTCCAGACTAACACAAGGCTTTTGTAGCTCTCATTAGTGAGTTTGTCTCTATCAGCTCCTGATTTTATACTTAAGAATGTAATAAGTAACATATAAAATAAAATAAAACTGTACAACATGTAGCTACTTCAAAATCGGAAAAAAAATCAGGTGTAAGTTAAAAATGTAATGAAATAAACATTTAAAAACAGGGTGGCAGAAACAACATTCTTAGGAGTACTGTTCAACCATATATATCCAAACATAATTAATAAAAGATATCCATATGCTATAAAAATAACCCCTGTGTCAAACTCCATATGAAAAACTAATATAGGGCACTACTATATCCACTGAGTGAACTAGCTTAGTCTGAGTGGGCACTGGGCAGGTTATATAGGTGCAGATACTGTGTAGATACTGACTGCCAGGAGAATTTCATACCCAGAACAATATTCGTAGCCAAACAAGTGTTGCTATGTTCATATTATACTTGTGTTAAAACAACTGCACAAGTGCTTATTAAGCAAATCATGTTCAAAGCTATGTTATTGATGTACAAAGCCCTAAGCAACTTGAAGGTATTGTTCCTAACTTGGGCAAATGGAAAACATACAAAGGCAGGGAAATTGCCTTCTCAGAGTTGTAGGCCTTTTTTACATGCTAACATGCTTAGGATTGGAACCTTAATATATTTGCTGATGCGCAAGAGTCCATGGGTAACTTAAGTTCATTCGTTCATTCATTCATTCAAAACTTTTATATGCCATCCTATATGTATGACATCTCAGGGTGGCTTACATCCATAAAGAACATGTCAGTATTCACAAACAGGACCAATGAACTTCAACATCTGTATGAATTTTCTAAATACCATGTAACTAGTTATCATTTACTTTGCTGAAATTGGTAAAAACAGTAAAAAAAATCTACAAATCTTGATCATAACAAAGGAAACAAGGTTAATACTCACAGCAACTGCAGAGACACAAGCCCATCAAAGAGGCCTTTGGGAATCTCTGTGATCTTATTTCCATAAAGCACTCTGAAATATATGAAGAGGCAAAATAAGTGGCATCCACTACTTACAAAGAGTGTTCTATTTAGACATATTTATTTTGCCAACCAATCTCTCCATATCAAGATGTAGTTCACTTAAACATCCTGTTATCAGTAATAAGAGACTTCTAAATAAATTAAATGTACTGATTCAGGCTCTGGTGAAATTGTCATAAATGTCAGCATTTTCAGAAAATAGTATATGTCTTGGCATTCATTTTATGTTTGTCAAATATGCTCAGTTATGGACTCTTTGAAATGCAAAAAGTTTAAAGTTTGTTACAAGTTTGTGAATTCTCCAGTGATCTGAAATAAACCAGTAGACACACAAGCATCAAAAGGTCATGTTTGCTTCAGATCAATTTTTCTAATTTTTATCAGCAGTTGTGGGGTACCTGAATTTGGCTGTAACTCCTATTTTGTGCACCTTAGCCTCTCTAGCCTACAAACATGCATTCAAGAAAATGACGTAGTAATTTGAGGATATAAATACATGGTTAGTTGAAGTATAACACTGAAACATGCTTAGGTTTGTAAAGTGTCATAGACTACTCTTGTGATACTTAAACAAAACATTCTCCAAGTCTAAAGCCAAGTAAATACATGTGCTACCTCATGTAATATTAATTAGAAATGGGGAAAATATCTTTTTAGGAAAATAAGAGAAAGCAGTCTTGGCTTTTATTACAATTCCATGCAGTACAATCTTTCTACTCAGAAATAAAAGCCAGTAGGTTCGACAGGTCTTGCTCCTGACTAACTGTACATGTTTTTGCTGTATTATAGAACAATTAATGGTTTTAAACAAAGGTCTGCAATTAAGCAAAATATGAGCAGGAGCGTGGGAAGCTTCAGAAATTTTTTCTTTGGGATCCTGGCCCTTGTCTTGCTGAAACAATTCATGGCAGATATACAGGGCTTTTTAAACATTTGCAATGCATATACAAGTGACTGACAATGCATTTGGAAAACAACAAGGTGGGACATTCTAGTCTGTAATTCTTAAAATCCATTTAATGGTACAAGAAGTTTCAGGAAAAACAGTAAGAAAAAGCAAGTAGTAGTTGCTTTACAATAGTTGCTGTTTTTTTGAGATTTGGCGGTTTGCAATGGCTGAAGCCCTTTAGCTCTTTTACTCCATTAGGGCTTTCTAGCAAACTTTATTTCATTATTGAGAAGCAGCTGTTAACTTCTTGAGAGCAAGATTAGCATAATCAAGTCCCACTATGCAGCTTTTCAAAAGGACCTGAAATAACATACCACCTCCAGAAGGCAATGTTAAGGACCAGCATAATAAAAGATTAGTAGGCATGCTTAGTACAAAGCTCAGTAAAGTTCAGTAACAGCTACTCTTGATACTATGAATCTTAAGGAATGGAAGCTAAATTTCCAACATCACCAAAAAAATGAAAAAATAAAAAAAAATCACAGCTAAATAATTCAAAGTAAGAATGACTAGTGCAATGGTCTATCATGAGATTCATTTAACAGCATTTTTGCTCATCTCTGGCAGGCCCCCAAAATGATAATACATCCTCATTCATTGGGTGATAAGGTAAATGTGAATGGCATGCCAAATACTAAGCATTTGGATCCAAGCTAATCTAACTTTTAAAAATTGGTCAGGAGCCTGTGTCAGGAGGGAGAAGAATTCTGCCTCTTACAGGGCTGAATTACATTCTCTCATCACTGAGCAAGTGAGGACTGGTTTGATACATCACATGAAATGTCTCCAGACAGTCTGGAAAAGGTTTCCTAAGCTTTGGCGCAGCCACATTAAATGAGCAGAAAGCTTACTGGCACCCCAAAGTCTTAGACACAGTACGCAAAAAGATTGCGAGCCCCAGCATACAGTGCTATAGTTGTCTTTTCTATCATGAGCCCATAGGATAGGTTGGACTATAAATTTAACAAAAGAAATAAATAAAAAAGAAATAAGAAACAGATGCTAATTTCTGATCCAGTATCAACTCACTGACTAAAACTAAATGGAAATTTATTTTAGTTTTTGTTAATACATGCTAGGGGAACTGAAGTGACTAGTAATAATGAATGCTTAATGCCTCCAGTTATCAAATGAATATTCCTCTGAATACCAGTGACTAGGGAAAATGCACATGAAATTGCTATTGCTCTGCTTGTGAGCTTTTCCATGGTTGATCCATGTGGTAACAGAACGTTGGACTGAGTAGGCCTTTGGTCTTATCTGGCAGGGCTCTTCTGCTATCAGGACCTTGTGAACAAGCTAGAAAGAGCTTGTTCTTGTGATGGCACGGTTTATCCTCTCCTGTTCTCCTCTTGTGCAGCAGGAAGAAGGGCTTTGGCTAGCTCATTTTCTACAAGAGCTAGTTCAACTTTGTATATGAATTTGGAACTGTTTCTAAACATGTCATCCTCAACTACAGTGGTTTAGCTAGCTAATTTAGCAACATGTATGAACTGAACCCACAGTTAGTGTTCTTTGGCTGTCATTGAAAAAAAGAAATTGACCCCAGGCATTCCTTAACTCAGAGATAATTAGCAGCATAATAGAGTTTATTCAGGAAAGACCTAGATTGCAAATCCTTTTAATAGACAATGCTTGGACAGGAGAGTATTTATAGTTATTGAAGAAGGGAAAGAAGCTTTTCAGCAGGCTGTTGAGATATATTCAGAATAACTTTGATCATTTTAAGCAAATGTACCAAACAACTTCCACATCTGTATCATCGCTCACATTTTAGGGTTGCTGGAATTATGGTTGCTACTTCCAGTGTTTGGGTCCTTATGGTACTACCAGTTGAACCCAGAGCCACAAGATTAATGGAATGGACAAGAAGCCATATAAAAGCAATCAATTCATGGAACACTGTTTCCTAAAATCTGACATTCCTGTCATGTGACTTGCACTGGAAATACCCTCCCATTCTGAATTCCTCTCTGTTCCCAGATTAGTTGCTCAAAAAGGTCACCAAGTTCCTGGCACCAGTTTTATAGGGGTGTAAGGGGCTGCAGAGCAACTTGAAGACTGCTCATTCTATGTATGAATGGCTGTAACTTCCACCTACAAATAGAGTGCTTGGATTCCATACTGCTATTGGCAAGTCAGAGAGGGAACAACGCTGTTCAGATATAATTCGATTGAGTCTCTGTCCACAACAGAAAAGGTAAGCATATATCACTTATCGAAAGGCTGTGTATTTCTTCAGTGTGCCAACATGGTTATATAACATTACGCTCATGTAATTGCTACCATTCTGTTAAGACTGTTCCATCAAGCAACCATTTTATATCCAGTTTTAATTCATAGAATTTAGACAGCAGACACTTTGTTTCAAAACACATTTCATCGCATTCAGGTAAGAAAAGAGGGGTTTTTTAAAATCACTGGCAGTTAAAATTGCACTTTGCAAAATGAACAGTAAAGAAATTAAGTTGGAAAATATATACCTGCTGCATGCGAGTCAAAGTAGAAACTGAATCACAGGGGGAAACCCCTAAGAGATCTTCGGTGGCTAGATTCAGAAACCTTTCCTGTTTACACTATCAGTAACTCTATCATATTATCCAAGATTTTCCAAAGGTCTCAGATTGTGCTTACACAAGAACATAGCTTAACCCTATGTTAAGGTCATTAAAGCACAAACACAAACTGTGTATCAGACTTGCTCAACCCTGTGCCTTTTAGATGTTTTGGACCAAATCTCCCACAGTTGCTGACTACTGGCTATGTGGCCTGGGGCTGATGCGAAACGGCCTTGGGCCCTGACCTGGGGGTTTGAGGTAGATTCATAGTTCACCGGAACCTGCAGACTTTCACAGTAAAGATTCCAGATCCAAGCCCTGGGCTTTCCAACTCATTTCAAAATAAGAGAATGGAAGGACCTCTGCCTAGAATGCTAAAGATTTGCTGTCAGACAGAATAGTAGCTTAGGCAGGTGAGTACCCTGAATCAGGATGGGGCAGTTTCAATAAACAAATAAAAACCATTTCCAAAGCTGCTTAGCACAGATAACTGTTATAAAGATTTGTAATGTGCATTCGGACATGGAATTCCCCAAACGCACTATAGTGAGACAGTCTTATTTCATCACATGGTGTGCTCTTCATGTACTCTAGCTCCAGAATTTGTTTCACTATTATGTAAGTGCTTAGCACAGAGCCAATGCACAATCATGGTGGATGCAATGCACACACTCTATGTAGGTGCTTTTGTTCACATAAGAAGCCCTCATTGCTGAATTTCCAAATTCTACTGTGAATGGCAAACAGTTAAAATAAAGGCTTCTGTTCTTAGGAAGACCCATGGAAGCTCAAAGAAAGCAAAAACACTCAGATGCATGTATGACAGCCTCTAGCGCCCATAATAGGATCATATAATACCAAAGTTCCTCTGTTAGTATTCTGAAAGCAGATAAGTTGACACAAAAATTTAGAACTGAAGCGCCAATGTACTGAGCTCTAGGGGTACTGTGATATTATGATATAGTAATAAGTTTATTTATGAGTAAATGTTTATGACTTGATTATATGATTTTCCAAGTAGCTGTGTAACAAAGAATGCATGTTTTCCTAAAGGGAAAAGATAGCAATAGCTTAATGCTCAAAAACTATATTGTATAAGCTTCCTATTGTGCTTTAGGCAATTATGGTTCAAAATGATGAACAGTAGGAAATCTTTTACTCTAAAATTAAAGTGTGTTGTAAAGGCTTATTTTGAAATGAAAAGGTTTATTTTCTTTTCATTTATTACATTTCTATACCACACAACAGTCAAAGGTCTCTGGGCAGATTACAAAAATTAAAACCCTAAAACACAATATAAATGCATTTGATGCCAAAAAAAAAAAAAAATTGGAAACCTCATCAACAAAAAATCCCCAGTCCCATTAGAAATCCTAGTACATGCTGCCAAAGGTGTGGAAGTGGAAGCAGTTCTTAACCTGGTGACACAAAGATGACATTGTTGGCACTGAATGAACCTCACTGGGGAGAATGTTCCACACTTGGGAGGCCACAGCTGAGAAGGCCCTTTGTTTTGCTGCCATCCTTCAAACTTCTCTTAGAGGAGACACTGATTTATTTACTTCATTTACACACTGCCTTTGACTAGTTTCCAAGATGTTTTACAGACTATTTTTTAATCCTTAAAACTATTTTTGGAAAAGATGACTATGTTGCCAAAGGCTTGACTGATCAGAAAACTTGGTTCCAGATGGATGCAAGAAAATGAAATAAGAGCTATTTCCTCAATGTATCATTCTTTCAATGAGAGAAAACATTTTGGGGCCACCACAGAAAAATCCCCTTGCTTATTCTAAAGGATAACTAGAATTCTATAAACAGTACATAGGAACAGGACCTTAAAGAATGGCCTATATATAACATCAAACGTAAAGCAACTGAACCAAGTTAGCTCAACAATAATTTTGAAATCATACTTAGCCAGCCCTGATAAATCCATAGGTTGATTTAGAAAATAACCAATCTGAAGTGCCAATGCACTGGCCTTATTTGGTTCTTGCTGTCTGATATTATGCAGACAAATTTTAAAGCCACTCCATCCATTTTAAACACTGCTTGTTACAAATAACATTGCTTTTAAATCTGACAATGTTAACTGGGTATGAATGCACAGGTAAAAGTAAATTCTGATAGTTTCCAAAAGAGTTGCCAAAATGTGCTTCATTGTTTTGCATTACATCAAATTTCAGTCTAACTACCTAAATTAAGAAAAAATAACGCCAACCATTTTGTAACTGTGGTTCCTATCACCTAGCATATAATTTGCAAATAAAATTCTATTAGTTTCCTTAAAAACACTCTGAAAGGCAATTTTGTTAAATGCTTTTGGCACCCAGTGAAAGAAAAATACAAAGTCTGTGCTGATTTTTAGAGGGCTAAATAATTAACCTTCATAGGTTGTTCATCTATGAAAGGCATCTAGTGTTAAATAAACAATGGCACCTTCAACTCTGATCAATTTCCAATTTAAGAAAGATTAGGTTCTTCACCCAAGGTGACAATTGCACATGGAGAAGAAAAGCATCACAAACCAATACTTGTTCTATTTATTTTTAAGGCTCTTTCCAAATATCCTATTCAAGGTTACCCTCTACTTACAGCGAGGTGAGAGACTTCAAGCCATGAAAAGCATCTGATGCAATATCCGATATTTGATTCTTGCTGATATCACTGCAAGGATACACAAGGAAACAAGACAAGATAGTGATGAAAACACAATTTGCCGATGTGCCCTAAGCTTTTTAAAACAGTCTATCTTGAGTTAATAGGTCTCGCTCTATTTAATCCCATTGAATGAAAGATGCTTATTCACTGAAAAGGGAGTGAATACAGCACCACAGTTGCTAACGTCATACAGGTGGCATCTGGGCCATCAGAATTACAGACCTCACAATTTTATTGAGAAGTAAGCACTATATAGTGTACTAGTAAGGAAGCATTAGTAAAGAAAAGTGTGACATTGTGAACATTTGCCTTCCCCTACTCTGACATTGATAGGCTAGCCTTTCAGTTACAGGAATCCTGTAGGAAGAAGCAGACTTCCAGGGATCTTCCCCAGTGTTATCATCCTACCACCATTCCAACACATTTCCCAAAAAGCGTTTGATTGGCTAACTCTTTCTCCTTGTAAGGAACTTATAAGTATTAAGGTCTTGCATTTAGACCTTTCTCTGTAGTTGGCAGAGAAGTCCTATGGTCCTTTGGAAAGTGCCAAAGGGTCTATAGGCTTTGGCAGATTCTCCGTTCCAAGCCTGTAAACATTTGTACAACTCAGTCATGCAGAATCTGCGATCCGATGAGTCTCCTCCCATTGTAGCACCTGCAGGTTTTCTGAACTGTTTTCTGAGGGTCAGATGGACAGGATACTATGGTCTCTTGGCCGGAGTCCCAGTCCACAGCAGGGTAGGACAGCTAGATAAGCTCAGAGCCCCTTCTTGCTGAAACTTTTATTTCAGGAGAGATAGGTAGCAGAATCTCCTAGGGATATATGAGAACAACTTCTTTGTTTGCAAAATATGTGATCATGCCTTGTTCAATGCTCTGTACATGTATCTGGTTGCCAAAAATGTTTGTAAATTGACCAACAGGTGCTCACATTTGTTTCATGCCCAATTCCCAATTCATTTGCACAAATTGTCTAATTGGTACACATTTCCTCCTTAGACTGAACATCTCTTGCTTTACACTAAGGCAGAAACTTGTACAAATATGATTAAGTTTATGCAAATCTGCTCAATTTCTGTTTGATCCACATAAGTCTCCCATCTGTGAAGAACAAACAGTGACTGCAAACACAAATGAAAATTGGGTACAAGATGCGTGGTGAAACAGTGTTCAGTGAAACCTGGTTATCTTGACCATTGCTTGTTTACCCATCCCTAATCATCTGCCCAACATGCCTGGGAAAGACCAAGATCTTGGCGCTCTCTATTTCTTGACAGAAGAATTAATTAAATTGCTCTCTAAATGATTTGATAATAAAGAACCTGATATAGACCCCTGTAAAATGAGATGTGCAGAGAATGGAGACTGTTGAATGTGTTTCAGGCCCATATTGGAACATATTTAACTTAGGTAGACATGCTTCTCCTGGTACCTAAATTCTGTAGCTGCCATTTTCCAAGAGGGCCATCCCTAGGGCCTGGAATATGCAATAACTCACAAATGAATGCATATTGGAAACTTATTTTGGTAGCAAAATACAGGGGTCTTTGTCCAAATGGATAGATGAACCATGATGAATCACTGTTGCCACTTGTGTGGTATAATAGAATGCTGGAGAAGGAGCGGAAAGACCTGGCTTCAAATCTCTGCTCAGTTATGAAGCTTGCTGGGAGCACTTCAGAGAGCCTTAGGGTGGATTTTGATGTCATGCTAAGCCTCAGAAAATTGCAACTGCGGTTGTTTTTTTTCAGCCCTTGAAAAATGTGCTGTTGATATCGGTCCTTCATAGATGCATGAGTGCATACTTATGGTTATCTGATATGTGTAGTATGGTCTGGTGAATTCCCTTGTCTGTTTCAGCAGTCAAAGGATGACAAGGAGACATTGCATATGGGCTAATTTGCACAGAGTTGCCAGATGTCGTTGCCTCGCTGTCAACTGAAAAAACACCACTAATAGGGAAAAAGCAGGCAAAGCAGATGCATCAAAACAGGGGATCAGGGCACCCATTTAACAATGTAATTCTCTCAGTTTTAATTGCTGAATTGACATTTTTCAGTCCTTCAGCTTTTTAACATTTCCCCAAACTCTCCTGCTTCTCCAGAAATGGAAGTATTAACTTCCCCACTTATTGCTCCAGTTTCTCTGGTTGTCTGACAGTTCTAAAAAAATCCCTGCAATAGCATACACAAATTTAATAGCTAGGCATAAATGGAGTAGAAAATATATGCTCCTGCACTAATGCTGCAAAAAGGGGAGGGAATTAATATTTCTAATTTCTGGAGTAGCTAGAGAGCTTGGGAAGCATGGAAAGATGGAGAGCATTTAAAGTTGTCAGTTCATCACTTAGTATGGAGAGGATTACATTGCTAATGTACTAATGTTCCCTACTCCTTTTGGGGCCGTGTCATCTCCCTTTTAGCCCTTTACTGGTACTTTTCCATTGAGAGCTAGACACTCAATGAAACTCTCCATGCCTTTTAATGTCATGGACTATGAATTTTGACAGAGACATGTACAATTTAAAAACCAAACCCAAATGCAAATGGAAAATAGCATAATTTCAATGGTCAGTGTTTACAATGGAATGATAGGTGTGGTTCCAGTGACACAGGGACATATTTATTTATTTATTTTTCAATTTATATTCTGCCTTTTTCCTACAAAGGGCTCAAGGCAGCTTACATCTCCTCCTCCATCTTATCCTCACAACAACAACCCTGTGAGGTAGGTTGGGCTGAGAGTCTGTGATTGGCCCAAAGTCACCCAGTTGGCTCCATAGCTGAGCAGGAAATAGAACCCAGATCATCTGAGTCCCAGTCCCATGTCTTAACCACTACACCACACTGGCTCTCCAGTGTTCATTCTCTGCAAGCCTTCCATTCGGATTATGTGATGGGCTGTCTCTGAAAATGGACCAGAAAGTTTATCTAGTACAAAACAGTATCAATGGGGCCGGAAAGTTTATTCAGTACAAAACAGTATAAAAAATTGGTCCTGGTTGATATGTCCATACTATGTCAGTACATTTCTATATGCACCAGTTGCCAGTCTGTTTTCAGGACCATTTCAAAATGCTAGTTTAAACCTAAATGGATTGAGACCATGTTACCTAAAAAGTATTTCCTCCTATACTTACCTGGACTGTAAAATCATCATTCGACACCCTTGTCCAGATTTCCCTTCTAAATGAGACAAGGCAGGTATCTGTATCAGAGCAGCTACACCGCGACAATGGAATTCCATGAAGGCTGACCTGGTGCCTACAGTACATTTTTTTCAGTGTGGGGTGAAGACCTTTTTATCCCCCCTGGCATTTTAACAACTATTTTAGTACTTTTAGAGCTCTGCACTGATCTCATTTTCAGCAGGTTTAACTTTGGTTTTATTATATACCTGCATCCATTGCTGCCAGCTTTACATCATTTTATTATCCACAATGTTATTATAATTATATTATTGCTGAATCATGACTACACAAAGATGAATCTGCTGGGCTGCATCTAAGAGGAAGCGGATGGTGTCTTGCAAACACCTCAGTGCCTTTCACCTTCACTACTAATCACCATGTGCTCATGCAAAGCATGCTGCACAAGATGTACAGATCCAAGCTGTTCTCAGTGATTTGATGTACTTTATGCTAGTGTGAAAACCTGTGTCACAGTGCATCTTAAGTAACGAATCCAAGCTCTAATTTTTTCTTCCAATTATTAGCCAGAGGTAGATGTTGTTTGCTGAACACAGTTGGTGTTTCTATTAAATAATCATTTATTTACTCATTTTTAAATTGACCACAAAAATCAGTGTGGTAAATGTATTTCTCCTTCGCACAACAATCTGTTGAGGTAGCTTATACTCACAGTTTCTGTCTGTCCAAAGCATATCCAGCAAACTTCATAGCAGACAGCTTAACCCTAGTCTTCCTGTTCCTCCTCCAGCATTTAGTCCAATAGGACTTAGAGGTGGCAACAGTGAGTGGTAATGGTTCTTCTATCAATCTCGAACAAAACCTCCTATACTTAGCCTCAAAAATGCAGAAATTTCTACATGCATTCATTCATGACATTGCATATCCCCATTACCATGTCATCCATCTTGAAAAATGGCAGCTACAGTATTTATGCACCAGAAAGGCATGTCTATCCAAATTTAATATCTTCCCACATAGATGTGCAACACAAACTTCAAATTTCTCTCAGCAGCTATTTCTTTTATGGGAGTCTATGCCATGTCCAAGGCTATTTAGGCAAAGCATTGGTACTGGTGTACAAAATTTTCACCAATTCAGAAAACATTCACTCAGTCAGAATGTGCTGCCCTAGATTCTAATTAGAACATCCCCTACTGTAACTTTACTTTTCAATTTTGTCATGAAAAATCCACCACCAGTTCTTTTGTTCTTCTGCTTTGACCTAAACTCCCTACATGTTTTGAGACAGTATAAAAGGCAGTATTTATTCTCAAGCAAATGTTGACATCTCTTAACAAAACAAGCAAACTTCATAACCTGTGATTAAGCAGTTAGTAGCATATGTAGCAGCCAGATTTCTTGACATACAGCTTGTGTCACATAATTTGGTGGTTTATAAACTGTCATGATCATACAGCAGCATGTTATACTTTTTACAAGGCCCCAGGATCTCTGACAAGTCTTCAATCTTCACTTACCACATTCTGAATATTTCATGTTTCCTTTTTTAGTATTTAAATTATTTAAACTTTTTCCCTATTTTTGAAATCAGAAAAGCCCATCTTATTTTTCCATGAAACTTTTGTCCTACTGTTTTGACACAGAATAGCTTTACAAGAATATGTCACTAGGGTAAAAAAGCAATAGAACGGGAACAGCAGTCTTCATCTTGCTAGCCTTGTTGAATCGCTTCTGTCATCTCTGGAAAGATTCAGTGGGCTAACTATAATATAACAGTCCAAGTTCCCACCTGGATTCTTTTTCAGAGAATCAACAAGATCAACACCATAAATTGAGTCAAGGTAAGCAGTCTTCTTCCTAAACAACAAGCATATTGAGTGCAATCATATGCATGTTTGTTTAGTAAATTCCACCCAATTAAATGCGGATTATTTTTTGGTAAGTGTGCATAAAACTGGCTGCATTAAAAAATGCACCATGACTTTGGGGGCCTTTCTCATCACAATCAGCTATATATTATAGCTTTCAAACCAAATTAAACATCATCAAGACTGCTCATAATGTTCTTCAAGTTTCTCTGGGTAGGTTTTTGAGCATAAATATAGCCATGTTTTGATTACTTTTACTACTGACATAAATTTAGAATAATTATATTGAAGTTACAGAGCATTTCTCAGGCAGACACTGACATAGATATTAAAAAGAACCTGTAGCTCACATATTTACTTAGAAATTAAAGCTATTTCCTGTCAAGTATAATAAGCATACTATTATATTCAGAAAATTACTCTGGCAAGAGCTGTCTTTCCATCTATAAGAAAATTACTCTTGCTTAAAATTAATTTACCAAATAAGCAGAAACAAATACCTAAGGGTGTTTCCTCTGATAACATAAATCTCATGTTAAGGAAAAGAGTTACACACAGCAACTTCACATGATAGAAGATAATCTAGTTGTTAATAATGGTCTAATTGTCATGAGCTGTTAAGCATACTGTGCTAAATACTACACTGCAGTTAGAAAATATTAAACAGTGTCCATGCATTTCATGGGGGCTTCATCATATAAACTGGTATCACATTTATGGTGTCAAACACAAGTATAACTAGGCTTGCAGATAGGAAATTTTCTTATCAGTTTTTCTCTCAGCCACCCTACCTATTCCTTTTTTAAAAAACTGTTCCTGTGAACACCTGCATGTGTCACTGATTGTCACTGGTGACACACACAATTCTGGAGGTCCTTCCTTTGCCTACTGGGAGCTTATCCACCTGCCTGCCTCACTGGTAGCTATCAAGTGCAAACACTGATATGTTTTATAGAATAGCTTTTGAAATACTTACATTCTTTTAAGTTTCTTGTATTGAGAGAAAGCTCCAGGAAGAATGCTTTTGATGGAATTCTGCTCCAAGCGGCTACCAAAAATTAAAACAAATGAACAAAAAACAAAAAACACAACATTAGTGCCACACTGTCGATGCACCAAGAACATTTATTATTAAATTTATTTTATGCCTTTATTGAATGCCTTTTATGGGTTCTATCCTAGAGTCTCCTACAAGGTGACATAAAATAAAAATAGAATAAATATTGTCAAAATGCCATTAGGATATTGCAAAATTCCAAGCAAAGCAGAGCAGTCACACACACATCCAGTCTAAACCTTGAAGTAGGGATCAACTACTCCATACAATTCCATAAATGTTAAGTCTGCCACATAATATGCACATTAGATTGTCTCTTATTACCAACTGAATCCTAACTGGAATATAAATAAGAAAGCAAACAAACAGCAACAACAAAACCCAACGAATGTCTATAGCTGCCGTAAGCTTTCAGCACAAACGATGATTGTTTTTAATATGGTCTACAACCTTTTGTAAATTGCATGGTATATTTTAGGTACAATGAATCAGGGTTCTGAAGAGTAGCCCTTGAAGTTACCTTCCAGTCCTACAATACAATGATTTGTTTTCTTTTGCTAAGAAACAGCTTCTTTACCCTTTGGGAGCTTTATTTTTAAGGTTTCAACAACTGTTCAGGTCAAAGGACAAGTGCAATTTCCTTCACTCTCTCTAATAAAATAGCAAAGCCTGGAGAGAGTACAGAGCAGCCTGATAGATTCAAAGATGTCTGAACATGATGTGGCATTAAAAGTAAGTCCCTCTGTACTCCAGCTTTTATTTTTGTATTTTTGTTTTTAAAGGCCTTTTCTGTCCAGACAAGACACTCAGCAAAACAGCTGAAAACAGCAAGGAAGAACAAAAACACTTATTTAGGACGTATTTAAAGGTGACAGATGATCTAGAAAAGCAGCAATGCTTGGAGTCCCATCCTAATTCATCTCAAGGTTCAAAACTTTTTGTCACCACCTCAGCTGGCACACAGTCAGTATTAAGACTGTGTGTGTGGTATAGAAGAGTGCCCGATACAGCCTTTCTAAAGCCAGACAGCTCATTACTGGGAATAACGAGACCAATTGTCTTGAACAGGAATACTCACTGCAGATTAGTTAAGACATTCAAATCAATTTAAGTTTCAACTCTTTTTATTGGTGAAAAGAGGGAATTCTACTCAACTTGCCAATAGGAATAGTTTGCTGGCTTTTCCCATTTTGGACATCTCAGTTACTGCTGCCTAATATTTGTCAAGCCTACCCACAATGGAGGGGAAGAGTTGAGAGAAGCCAGAGTTGAGAGAAACAGAGAGAGGAATGAGACATCTGTGCTGATAATTCTTAGCTGTTGAATGAGGCAAGTCTTTAAAGGAGAGAGCCATGCTCTGCTGATAGCCCCGGTGTGTTGTTTTTCATGTGTCAGAATTCATGCTTTCTCTACTTAGCAACCACATTTGTACTCCAGCTAGCAATAATATAACCAAACAAGCTGACTGTACCACTCTAGTTTGAATACTTCATTTGGCCTCTTTTTTCTTAATTGCTGCAAGGCACTATCTTTCGGAAAAATGGGAAATTAAATAAATCCTCTTAGGACACTGCATCCTGTTTTTCATATCATAGGGAAGATGTAACTGGCTGGGTCAAAGGAATTTCTGCTGGCTCCATATAGTAAATGCATGTTATTGCCTGCATCTCAAAATACTTAGTGTTGGTTAAGTGTCTGCCAGTAAAAGACTGAAGACGTCACATTTAAAGTATGCATTCATTTAAAACTCAGTTCTTCACAGGGCAATGCCAGGCTGTATTAGGGATCAGACTCTCCTCAGCTTGAAGTTCAAACTCCCCTCCCATAGATTAGATTAGAGGAGCAGTCACTCTCTTGATTGCATCAGAGACTGGGTGGGAGACAAACGCATAAACTGGCTGACAGGAGAAACAGCTGGTCACTTTACAGTGAATGGGTGATCACAAATCAATTCTTACGGAAAGAGAAAGTATTATCCAACAGAATTCATTGCATGAAATAGCCAAAAGGAGATATAGATCAAATCACCTGAGACCATGTGAAAACAAAACAGTTTCAAATAGAGAGCACACATGCAACTTTGAATCATGCAGTGTTTAATAACAAATGGTAATGCATCAAGGATTGTGCATGAATGTGTGGACTACTCTTGGGATGGACAGGATGAACCATCACTTCAGTGTAAGAAGCTCAAGGCTATGAGGTAGCATGTTATTAATTCCTGCCATCCTGCTCACTTGAACACAACTTCCCCATTTCTACTTCCAGAAACTGTCTCTACCCATCAACAATCCCCTTCTTGCATCATTTCAGAAGGATTTTTTTTCATTGTGGGAAACAAAGGCCTTAGAAACTAGAACAAAGAACACAATGGAGTGAGGTTACAGAAAATTAAAAGTAAGGGAATGAAACTGTTCCAGAAAAACATGCTAATGATGAACTGGAAAAAATCTAGCTTTATGCAAGAGAAATGTGGGAAGAAACGAGTTGATATGTATTGTTGAGGAATTAAGCTCCATTACTTAATGATGTCCACAGAGTGTATATTCACTCATCAAGTGCACAGTAGGTTTGGGTAAATGAGTAATACTTGAGATCATTAGGATTTGTTAAACATTGCCATGTTCTTGATTCCTGTTTGGGTTTGCAATCCCTGCCTGCTCTACATGAATATGAACATTGTGCAAATCAAGTAGTAAACAAGTCTGAGATTTGCACAATTTGTTCCAACTCTGCACAAATTTCCTAATGTGCTCAACTTCCTTATGAAGGCTAAGGAAAGTTTTCAGTGTATGGGGGTGAGGGGGCACAGAATTCACACATATTAGGAAATTTGCACAAAATCAAACTGGGAAAGTTGCACTAATCAAACTGATGATTTGCAAACATTTGCCTGAGGATTTGCATACATATTTGGTGACTAGGTATATGGAGTTCCATTCAGGGCTTCCGATGATACCTGAACTTGTATTTTGTGAGCTGAAAGAAAATTCTCACACATTCTTTGTGCATGGTTTCAAAATAAGATTTACTTATGACATAAAAGTGGGGAATGTGAGACACAAAATGTCATGGAATACTTTTCCATACAGCGAAGTGTGCAGGCTTGCTATAGAACCCTACTGCTATAGAGAACTAGCATTAGTGTAAAACTGTGTCTAGAAGCATTTTTCTTTTTTCTACTACAGTAGGTATAGCATCCGTTTGAATCAGGACCCGAGTGTGTGGAGTAAGGGGGCTTTTATGATCTGAATCAGGGGCCCTGCATTTGTTCTAGGTTAAAAATCGGGTGGGGAGACATAGCTGCTGGTCACATAGTTAAAGTAATATCTATTTTGGCAATTGGATGTATCTCTGGAAACATCTACTGGATTTTCTTCCAGATTTGTTTATATATTTACCAAGTAATACATGAATACTTGACATCCTACTATACTGGTGTGTTTCAGTTTAATTTTAAATGTGTTTGCCATTTGATTAATAGAATATTAGAAAGTGATTTATAGTTACACAGTTCTAAAAGTGTACAGTCTAGGATTAGCTTGATGATGTAGGCGTAGTAATTGCTTTCCCACCTTTATGCTTTATAATGATATAACTCTGCACCTATAATGTAAAATAGTAAGAAGAATAGGAAGAGGTAGAGGATATAAGCTCCCAGAATGTGAGAGCTAGTTAAGTGCTGGTAACACGAAATTGCTTAATGGACAGACACTTCTGCATAATTCTTCCTTGCAGGGTCACAGCTACGGACATAGAGAAGAGTAAACAGACACAAAGTCCCAAAGCAATTCCCCCAGTGTGTGGGTGAATCTTGACCTAATGGCAATATTATCCTGCCTCATCAAGTGCATCTTGTAATACAGATACTGGGGCTGGGGACACCTAACTAACAGTCACTGGTACAGCTGGAGTTTGGCTGCCATACATAGAGAATAATACTCAGCTGAAGTTACCATTTATCCAGAATGAGGAAAGTTGTTTTGGATTCTTTAAAAATGGAAAAGGTGGCATATAAATCTAATAAACAGGTATTCTCTGTAACAGGAGCTACCACTTGCATATCAACACCATAATGTTTTCTCATAGGCAAGTAGCAGTCACCCAGCAAAGAAAGGACGTTCCCCATGTAGTGCCATACATACAAAGAGCAAAGCCTATAGAAGCAACAAAGATCAGGGGGAAAGAACTCACTCTTGTTTTATTGATTTATTATTTATTATTAAACTTACATTCACTATATTTGCCCAAGGGCAGATTACAATGAGAGAAAAAAATCAGGCTTGCCACCCATTCTTTCAAGGGATCCTATGTCTTTCAGAAGCAAGTGACAGATAAAAAATATAACAGGGAATGTTGTGTCCTGCACAAAGATACTATGATGGAGGAATTTGTAAATTCTATATTTTACATGAACTTTGAATGACACATGGGCCCTATATAAACCAATTTGAATGACTGGCAATTTCACTATGTGATGATACCATAAACTTTATTGACTACAAGTGTTAATATTCCATAAATGATATGACTAATTCACCTGCTTCTCTTTTCTTCGGATGGTTAGCAAATGTATACACACACAGAGAGTGCTTGTGATTCACTTCAAATATATTCTTGATGAGTCATATAATGGATTAGCAAATTCCCCACCATAATGTTCCAGCAGGGCTAGCTTGCCTATTGTCTTGTCACAAGAATGTCAGGTTCTAAGAGCACAGTGTTTCCCCAACTCCAACCATGTTTTCTGCTGGTTTGATAAATCAGCAACAGTACTGCCAAAAAGCCAGAGGTGAGGCACAATGGTGAGAGATCTGGGAAAGGTCCCTTGGTGCTGGAATGAGGTCGGCAGAGACTGAAATGAGGTCATTGCCCCAAGTTCCAACTGCCTTGAGTGGTAAGCACACTTCATCTTCCTGTGCCTATTTGGCTCTTCCCAGTCTTTATTGCACCCGAAGTCTATAGCCAGGGATTGCATACATAAAGCTGGG